TTGTACTCAAACGGTTTAAGAGTTTTGATGAAACGCCGGAATTATTTATTTCTGAGGTAAGCAATTGTTGATGTTATCAATTAAAGTGATATTTAATTTGACCCTGTATTTACTTTTATTTAATAGTTCAGAAATCATGTCAAGTGCGTGTCTGATGATTTCCTTAATATTTATGGATATACACAGGTCCCAGAAACAAAAGAATACATGATTGTTATGCAATATGCTAACAATGGTACTCTTTTGTCTTATTTGGATCAAAATATTAACAAATTAACATGGAAGACGAAATTATTTCGTTTGGGGGATATTGCAGACCATCTGGATACTATTCATGTTGCGGGGTTAGTGCATTGTGATCTTCATGGCGGAAACATAGTTTTGGATAGTGACAATGAGCCATTGATATGCGATCTTGGTCTCTCACGATCAGTGAATTCACGCGAGTCAAATTCAACCATTCAAGGCGTTTTACCCTTTATTGCACCAGAAGTCTTCCATACCCGCAAATTTACTCATAAATCAGATGTATATTCTTTTGGTATCGTTATGTATTTGATTGCTACTGGTGAACCACCTTTTAGAGATAGGCAGTTCGATAGAGATTTAATATGTGACATTATGGGCGGACTACGACCATCGATGCCTGAGTCCGCACCAGAGGAATACAAGAAACTTGCCGAGCTGTGTTGTGGTGCTGATCCTGATAAGCGTCCAGATGCGGAGACAATTTGCGACCTTATTAAAGAGGCGGAGGACAATTCTGTCAGTAACACGTGGGATGCTGTTTATCATAATGATGTAAAACCCTTATCACGTCGAGAGAAAGAGAGTAAATATTCTAGTACTCTCTTACCTACTAGAGATCTGCCTAAACCGAGAAACAGTTATGATTCAGTTGCAGGTATGATAACAACAATTGACACGTTGATAAAATTGAAGTCAAGTTACAATTTAACGTTTTTATCTCGTTAATTTAGTGACTCAAGATTTTGAATAAACCTGTAATCTTATCTCTCTTCCAATTAAATACGATGTTTATGCTTATCATTGCACTTATCCGTATTTATGCAATAGGCTTTAAACATATTTCATGACTAGGATGTCAAAATACGACAAGTTAATAAAACATTTTGATGAGTTCCAACTACAGAATAAAATAAATTGATTCACAATTAATAGCATTTTTCTTTGGGACGAATGTCGATTTTAAACCGTAAAGTATCCATAATGTGATAATTGATTGGGGGAAACTGGAAGATATTTCTCGATGCAAATAATGCTCACGTAAGCTTTGTTTTATATTAAGCAATCAAAAAAAAAAAAAAAAAAAAAAAAAAAAAAAAAAAAAGCTATTCGACTATCATACTTTATTAAATTAAAACTATCTCGCAACAATTACCGTATTCCACCGACATCCGACTTCTTCGTATTCTTTATTACTTCGGAATCCACGAGGCCATATACTAATACTAAGTCAAGACAGGAGACATAAGAAAAGTTATGATGTAAGCAATTCAGACGTTCTTATACAGTATATTATATACAGTATCTAATAATGCGTTAATCGACAATCCCGAGACCAATCATTATGGAATTATCTACAGCACTAAAAGCTTAATATTAAAGAAATAAATCGAGATATTTACCCACTATCAATACGATGTATCTCCTGGGTACACATGTCAGTATTTTTTTCTTTGAAATGGAATTCTACATACACTGGGTGGAAGAAAGTTTATGCGGGGGTTTTTTTAAAAGCAAATATCTATAAAATTTTAATAACTAGTTGGCCATCCATTGTTAGCAATGCTATCAATTAAAGTTTAAATATGTTTCTTTGAAATTTGCTCTCATTCTTCTTTTAGAAAATCTCCAATTTTAAGTCTTTTGGGACATTCAGGAAGTTTACGCAGGCGACGGTCAAGTTTATCCCATGATGTTCGATGGGATTCAAATCTGGCGATTGAGAGGGCCAACCTACCAAGCATTTTTTTTTATGCTTTAACGTCCCGTGCTGCGCGGATAGCGTTATTGTACTGGAATCTTCCAAAGTATCAGAATTTTTTCTTGTTTCACAATAAAAAATCAAAAAGGGGGAACTGGTGACACTAGAAAGACACGTAGAAAGTAAGGCTTTAGACATTTATTCCGATTTGAAATTACCACTTTCTTCCACACAGTGTTACAGACAACTGCCTATAATTCGATCGCTTGCAATGAAACGAGCTCATTGATTGGTGTGACATTTATTTGATCTGGAAATTCTTGTCATTTCATTTTGATGTTTATTTATGAACAAATTGAACGATTCCGTAGCCTTTTGTGCATTCAAATTTGTTGATGAATATGATGAGAAAATGATCAATGAGCTATGGCTTTGAGAAAGGGCTAAATACAAATAAAGCATGCAAAAGAAAAGTGAAAGGAAACAGAGTAACTACTCAATTAACAAAAAGGTATGACAAACGAATTGGTAAATTTAGCGGTTTACCTTAGAACAAGTTTGCTCTTTTAACTTTATATACCAATTATTTATGACAATGCTGCATAGGAGAAAACATGGCTATATGCAAGCAATTAAATATACAGCGGCGTTCAAAAATTTTTTTTTGGCACAAACGAATTTCCTTCCAACTTATCACACATTGCTCCAAATTATATGATTTAATCTCTATTTGAAAGCCTGAAAGGTGCTGATTGTTGATTTATTATTTAATAGTAATAGGGGAATGCAAAATTATCATTATTCTATAATTAGTTTATATCGATGGAATCTATTAAATTAATTAGGACAAATTTGGCATATTGTCCCACCATTCAGCCATAAACTGTTTCAGTATTTTGGTTTATGTTTTTCTACGTATGTTCCAAATGGTTTCAATAGGATTAAGGTCAGGACTCAGTCCAACATTGTTTTGAAGAAATTCCTTGCAGTACAAGAGAATCAGTATCCTTTGGAAGCGCAAAGTAAGTTGAAAAAGTCTGTTTGGAAATGATAGTCCATTACATAAGCCTTATTTTGAATCCGTACGTACCACTGTATCTGTATGTCCTACTATTTAAGTTTTTATTGTCGCATCTGCATTACACCGATATACATGGGACTAAATGACAGCAACCGTTTTAAAGGCAGCTTGCATAGACTTTTTAATGCTATAAATTGTCATAGGCATATTTATTATGACAAAATTCTCCTTTCAAATGAGAAAGAATGTTTCCTATCCACAAAAAAAAAATAAATAAAACATTAAATGACGTAATATCAAAAAAATAAAAATAGTAGTCATGCATGCCAATTGTTTTGTTAGGCACTACTGTATATTGAAGTATGCTACTTCTATTGGACGTCCTCTCTTTGCAAAAGGTATTATATCAAATAAACACAAGCCTTCGTTATTTAGTCATACAGGATCGGCAGTTGCTTATCACTGTAGTACAAAATGTTGCCCATATCGATATAAAAAGACGCAGACATCAAGTAAAAACATCACCCACATTTATACTGTTTCTAATGCATACATTTACCATTTTTGTCTCCTCGTTCATTCTGTTTATCGCGCTCACACCCCTCCCGATAAACGCTGAACTTGTTTGCCCTATAGATATCCCCTTAAGTACTTGCGCCACATGTCAAGCTGCCATTGACTCGATTTTTTCTCCAAACTACTTTAGTGGTAATGGCCTTCCTCCTCCTGATAAGCTTCACCCATGTGACTTTTATGGTCGAGTGGGATGGGAAACTGGCCGTCGTTTGGGACCCGGAACCAGCCCTTTTGATGCAACTGTCCCCCAATTACTCAAGGATGCGTTCGATGCTGCATGCTCAATCCCAAGTACGTGCACTGAGCAAGAAGCTATTGATGGATCCAAGACCATCGAAACCGGATGTGGAGAACTAGTTGGAGCCAGCAACGATACTGGAGTTGTGGATGCTACAATGGCCTATATAATACTTCGAAACTTTATTCCGGAGAAAAGTGTCTATTGCAACAAAGACGCGAACGGAGGTAAGAATTGTCTCGCAAAATTATTGCATCAGTGTTGACGCAAACTACTAATCGATATAACAAAAAAAATCTCGTTTAACACAGACAGTTACGGCTGGCAAATTCTCCGTGATGTCATAAACTACGCAGCAACAATAGTTCCTCCGGACATAAGTGGTCTTATAGTCCCCCCTAACCCGGCTCTCGTCTTTGTCACATACGACAACACGACTGGAAGCCCCTCTGTTTATGGTATTCCTAATTCAGTTATCTGTAGTAAAGCCTACAAATACATGGTTTCCATATTCTCCAGTTTTGTTGATACATATCCACTCGACCCGCGGTTCTTTTATCTTACAGGAAATTTGAAAGTAGCCAAATCGCTTGTTCAAAATTATTGTACAAGTGTTGTTAAAAAGTCTGAGAGAAAAAAGAATAGATTATTTAGAATAAATGACATTGCCTACGATCAAATTTATGGTTACACTCTCTGATAAGTAACAAGACTCCTTTACTTATAATTTATAGCAGATAATAATTGTTTTATATGTCATAATCTAGATACAGTATATAGTACAAATTATGGGACACGTTCATTAATTGTCAGTTGTTGTTTACAAAATAAAAATCAGAATTGACCAAATATATAAAGCGGCAAAAACGCTTATAAGTTGGACACGTTGGTTTGGCTTAACTCGGACAAAATTTTCCTGAATAGTTAAAAAGTTTGATAATTTGGTCGACATACATATAAGTTGCAAGTCGGAACTATTTTCGATCTAACAAATAAGTCGAACCTGTGATTTCCAAAAATATTGAGAGATAATCTTATCACAATTAAAAAAAGAACTTGACGTTGACAATTCACATTGATGATGTTAATGAATTTTAATGAATCATTTAACCGCAATCAAAGAAACAGCTTTAGCGTATCCACGTAGCTGTGCCAAATAAAGGATACACCAAATTAACCGCAATCAAAGTTGTTGCGGTCATTACCTATATATCGAGACAAAAATTACGCAACAAACATTACACACACGAACATTGAGCAATAATTTAGACGCACATACACTTTAGATCTCGATAGTCGTGAACTACTAATCTCTATATCGATTAGGAATATCCCGTAGTATTCTGGTAATAATCCCACCGGAAGAGAATAGTCGATTAACATAACAGTCCAGGATTAGTGTCTACCGATCGACATAAGTAGTTTACAGGTCACTAACTGTCGTCGTATTTAACTACAAGTAGGAGAAGCCACGCTCCATCTAAATCCCAAGGTACAAGCAATCGATGGCTCTCCCGCGATTGTTACCTCGACTGTTTACTATTATTATTAAGCCTCTGCTATATGACCCTATTAGTATCACAAAGTTGTAAGTATTGCTTGCGGATTCATGGCTCTAATCTGGTTATTTTACGTAAACAAAGATATTGTGTAACATTACATATAAGGTAAGTAAAACCGACCAAAGTACAACCCATATAGCGTTTCCTGTAGTACATGCAGATAAAGTGAACATTCTATTATGTGACATAAATGAGAGGCTGATGTGGCTAAAAGTTAATTAATAACATTTTGGTTATCACAGTAATAACTTATACAGTCAACCCTCTATTTAAGCACCCTCCATATAAGCACACCCTCCATATAAGCACGCCATCCTTATTCCCGAGCT